ACATTTTAGAATGAAAAATACTGCGTTGAAGCTAATTTTAAGCAATAAAGATAAAAGACACCATTTCAAATTAAAGGTAAATGGTGAAACAAACAAAATTTAATTTGTAACAATTGACTTCTGCCTTTAGTCTGCACTAATTTTGGAATTTTGGTCGGTGTCTATGAATAAGAAGAATGATCTTCAAGTCTATCATTTCTAATTTGTTGCATGCCAACTGGGGCTGATCTTAGTTCCAAATGGCTCGTGTTCAGTCATACACCTAAGCTGGGTTCCTGTAACAGCAAAAATAATTCGTCTCATTCCAAGGTAGCAATGTGAAATGAATCCGTCGCGGGCACTGCGGTCTTCTTCAGCAAAATAACTATCACTCCACAGTTTGGATTTGTTTGAGGAAAAAACCTTTGCCTTTCAAACTGAGTCGGTGTCCTATTACATTTAATTCTTAGGAGCACACATTCTCGTTTGCCGCAGGTTTCTCTTGGCAGTTGCCGCAAGAAAACCACTCGCAATTTCCAAGATGTGAGCCACTGAGCGGGTCGGCGCTTCTTCTTTAAACTCATTTTCCTGACTTTCTCTCTCTTTCTCCCCAACAGAGGTATCTCCTTCCCCTGAAGACGAGCCATGTTTCGTTTGAAACATAAATGGATGTATTACACCCTCTCGGCTTGATTAAAATCTGAGCCGAGAATTCAATGAGTTGCGCTCTCCTCGCCGCTGGTTTCCTTATTTACATCTACTTCAGTTGCGATATAATTCAGCATGCTTGACTATTGCTACGTCATATTCTCGTCACAACAAAGGTGGCGGATTTCAATTTGAAAATGCCGATTTTTGGAACATAATTGTTCGCAACTAAAACACTTTCAGCTCAAATGAATAGCCAGTTAGGACAATGCAAACATGGAACTTTTGATATAAGTAAACTTTTTCTAGACCGTACTTTCCCTTTAACCACTTTATCGGCACTAGGGATTAGACTGCTTTTAGATCGCGGGAAGTTTCTCTTCTCAACTTATTTCGAAGGGCGTATCGAAAGCACACGTCTTTTTCTCGGAGTTGGCACCGCGCCGAATCACTGTACTTTTTTCGCTGATTTCTATATTTTTCGGTCAACCACACCAGCACTCTTTCCGCGCCCTGTTTCCTAACACCCGCGGCTACAAATGCGCAGTTTTTGTCCCTCTGGTGATGCTATGAAAAGCCCTATTTTACTGAACATTGCCGTATGCAAAGTAGACAATTTTGTTGGGCCAAAAAGCATCGATTGTTTAATTATTCAAAACACTAAAAATCTCGTCAATATCATTCATATAATCTGCATGTTCTACTGTTCCTTTTCTGCGGCGTTTTCTCCATCCAAGTGTCGCATTTTGATTGGTTTTCTCCTCTGAATTTGTGTCATCTTTTCCAGTTTTTCTCTTTCTTTTTTTCAGTTTACATTTAAGTGCTTCATTTCCACCGTGGGTTTTGTTGTCGTTCCCTTCCGCTTCTGATGCGTGATCGCTGGTCTCGAAGTTCACTGTCTCTTCCACTCGTTTCGAATCTATAGCATGGCCTTCATTTCTTGGTTTTTCCACGACTACCTCGCCTTTGCTAAATTGTTTTTTTTTTGTCTTTCTTATATCTTTCATCTTGACTGTTATTGACTTTCTTCTCTCTTTCATCTTGATTGTTTTTTCCTCTCTTATCTCTTTCATCTTGACTGTTTTTATCTTTCCTTGTAATCTTTTGTACTGCATCTTGCCTTTCAACTCTTTTCTTTTCCTACTTCGGTTAGGTGATTCTTTTACTCCATCATTGAGAGCTTCTATTCTCCTTTTTTTAGCAAAAGTGCCATCCCTGATTTTGTCTCCACGTCTCCGTTTCCACACAGTTTTCGTTTTCATTTTCGCTTCTATAAATGTTTCGTCCCTAATATGCTCCTCTTTAGTGTCCGCTTTTATACCTGTGTCATCTTTTCCACTATCTTTCTCTTGCTTTTTCATTTTACTTCCTTCATTTTCCCTTGAAGTATCTTTACTTGATCCTTTCATGTTCCCCTTGATATTCTTTCCATGTCTCCGTTTCCTCAGCATTTTCGTTTTCACCTTCGCCTCTATGACAGTTCCATCCTTACTGTGCTCGTTTGTTAACTTCATTTTTCTTCCTTCTTTCTCCCTTGCCGCACCTTTGCTTGATCCTTTCATGTTCCCCTTGATTTTCTTTCCATGTCTCCGTTTCCTCAGCATTTTCGTTTTCATCTTCGCCTCTATGACAGTTCCATCCTTACTGTGCTCGTTTGTTATCCTCATTTTTCTTCCTTCTTTCTCCCTTGCCGCACCTTTGCTTGATCCTTTCAAGTTCCCCTTAATCTTCCGACCACGTTTCGCTAACTTCCTTCGCTTCGCCATCTCTATGACTAGTTTCCAAGTTTTATTTCCAAATATACGTGTCGTTGAATACGAGCGTCTCCAAAGCATGGCTCTATGTGGAGGCTTTTCTAACTTCTTATCTTTGATCCTTATTGGTGTATTGGAAACTTTACTATCTGTAATCTCTGCTCCTCTCTTTTCAGGGCCCAACTTTGCAGTAAACTGCCTCTTCAGCTCCTCAGGATTTTCAACAAACAATTGCATTTTAGGCCGGAAATCCTTTTCTACCGTTGACGCGTTTCGGTGCTGATGGAATGAAACAAAATTCGGTGTACCAAAATTTAGTCTAGAGCTTTTACCGCCACGAAAAAAGACTTGAGCGTTTTAAAGATCGAGCGATAACCAGATGAGGGTCTCAACGAAGTCTTAATTCAACCGCAAAAACAAAAATGCAAACAAACAAACAAAAAACAACAACAACAACAAAAAAACACACTCAGAAAAGAAACCGTCAAAACTAGAGATTTTAAATTCTAATTATGAATTAACCTCTTTCACCTCACTCTTCTAATTGAAGGATTTTGCGTCCTAACGATGTTTCCGTCATCACAAAAGGGTGTCGCCTACAAATGAACGCTTTTCATGGCTTGATAAGCAAGAGAAGGATCGTTTAGACCAACAAGAACTGCAAAACTTAGTGAGAAGACCTCGTAGCAAGGGAAAAGGAAGGAGGTCTTAAAGCACAATCGTCGGCATAGTTTTAACTGGTCTGGTGAGTATCAAAGCTCATCTGCTACCGTTACTTGTTATCCACTATACCTTAAGTGATCTGGTGACTTCGTCAAGAACGCAAGACTCTCCAAGGTCATCTGGGAATTCTTTCAAAGAATCGACGATTGCTTCGGAGATCCTCGATGAAGAGTCTAACGGAAATTTTAGATACATGTAGATCAACATTTCGTTAGAAAATGAACAGTCCAGCTAAAGCGCATAAACACTATGAAAGTAAAGAGTGCCATGCAGTAAATTGGACATTCAAAAATATATCAACGAACGCTTTTCATTCCACTAATTTATTCATGTTTTTCTCGTTGCCATGTTCCCACCAATCACGTAGCTCCTTTTTCTGCCTTTAAAAGCACACACAACCCACAATTCCCCTATTCGCTCCGACGAAGGGCTAACGCTCGAAACGTCAGCTTTTACAATCGTAACGTTGGCCAATTTACCATTTCAACTTTGTTGATATATTCAAATTATTTCGTTACCCCGACCGACGCAGCCCCAAACAGTTTCTTTAGAAACTATCAGCCTTCATTCATTCAAAAATAAGTTTGTTTCACAACGCTTTAATTTCCAAAAATGATCAAGAGGCAACTTCTTCCCACAGTTTCAATACTTTATACAGAGAAAAGACAAACATATCAGTTGTAGTGTGTCCTCATGATATTAACACTGCTTTTCGTAGCTAGTTTGTACTGGAAACGCAGAGGTCTAACAGTAAGCGCACTAGAGGTCTGGGTTCGAGTCCTGGCCGGGTCATTGTGTTCTTGGGCAAAACCACTTTACTCTCACCAAGCCTCTGTCTACCCAAGATTATAAATGTGTATCTGAAAACTGTCAGGGAGGCCTGACAAAATACTGGGGAGTGGGGTGAGGGTAACCTTCACTGGACTAGCATCCTATCAAGGGAGTGTCGCAATACTTCTGGTCGCCTCATGTCCCGAAGACCGTTGCCTTGTGGGCCACTTAACTCGTGAGGAGGCTTTTATAAGGAAATGTGTCACAGTTGGTAGGGTTCACTCAGAAAACTCAGAAGAATGTATGGAATGCTTTTTCTCTTTCCCAAGGAAAGCGCCAATCAGGCGCTAGAAAACCGTAAACGACAATAGCAATTAGCCAGTGGTTATGCATATGCAGCTTCCTCGTTAGCCTTGCACTTTATCGTGATTCGTCGTACGCAGTTGACCTATCATAATCAAATCAAATCGTTCATGGTTTTCCGAGACTCACAGTAAATGTTACCTTGAAGATGACCTCTTGGTGTTGATCCAAACAGCTTATCCAGAGCTCCTGATGTTGACAACCTCAACTGTGGAGTTCTACAAGTGCTGTATAGAACCAGGAAAAAAAAAAATTAAAAATCGTGTCTTTGGTGGTTATCACTCTATAAACATCATTCATTTTTTACTTTACCATATCTGAAAGACAAAAAAAAAAGAAACAAAAACAACAACACCAACTGTACCTGTTTAGCTTTTTGTTAGAATTTTCACCTTCCAACGGGAGCAGCCATATTTTGAGACTCTTCGGAAGATCTTTTGCTTCAGGGCTTTCTTCCTAAGAAGGAAACATTTTATGCCTTTATCAGTATAGACAACGGGCAGCTCCTCCTTTTCGGCGGATTCTGTTGAGTGTATAAAAAAACAGTCGAAAAGAAAAGGAGTGGTGTTATCGCGCTAGGTGGAACTCTGGGAGTGAGACACATGAAAAGTACTCACTCCCAGAGTTCCGCGCGGCGCGCTAACATTTTTTTTCTCCGCTATAGTTTTTTGACACGCACGACGGACTTCACCGAAAAGGAGGGACTGCTCGAAGACTATTAGTCCATTACGTACAAGATAATCATTTGTTGAAATCATTTTGAGATTCACTCCTAAAGTGCAGTTTGATCTCTTCTATTTTGACTCGCCTTACTTTCGTGAAACTTGTTTCTATAACAAAAGTCGAGAACGACCAACTACAGCCTTTTAGCAAATCACTTAAATGTGATAAATCTGAAAAATGAAGAACTGAGATGTAACTGCACCCGCAAGATTTTTTCGTCCTGAAGGGACCGTTTCCTCGAAAGTCTGAGTAAATTTACAGGTGCGAAAGGGCGATTTTTATCAAACCTGTTTTCATTCAAGATCGAGATATTGATAGGTTAGAGACTCGAACATGCAATAAAAAACAACACGAAACAAAATAAAAGAGAGAGCTTTTTTAAGTTTATACACGCACTATTGTGCCCTTAAATTCGGAATGAAAATGTGACTTTACGCTGGTATAATTACCGCCAATTTCAAGAAACAGGTTCTAGGAACATTAGTTTCTTGACAGCCAGATTCGTCCCGTGCAGAGATTTCTAGGATTTCAAGTTGCCTTTCACTTTGACAACCTGAGGGTAAAATCTAGTACCATTGCGGTGGGCCACTTCCTACGTTCTAATACTCACCGTCATTGTATTCTCAAGGAGACTAATCCATGGGAACAGGACGTCGTAACACTGTGATATGGAGTGCATAAAATCTTTTAAAAAGACCCTAAAAGGAGATATCGGAGATCAGAGAGATTTACCAACGCGTCTACAACTATTCTAAGACTGACCTCGCATATCTTTCCCCTAATCCTTAAACGGGCCCATCAAAAGTCTCCTAAGCACAAATATGCTTATGTTTTCACATTATTGCTCCGATTGTTTAAGTTCTTGCCATTTCTTGCTCCTGTTGTCCACTCATAGAACTCTCTAGCAAAAACCCTTTACGACAAATGACATAAAGATAACATTATTTCTGACTGATTACAAAGGCCTCAAATCAATCGAGAAGTTTTGCAGAAAGGTTTATATTGCAATATGTAAATAATTTAATAAGTGCCACCTTGCACTCGAGGCAAATTGATACTCACCACACCCTACTTAAACTTGAAACACATGTCAAGTGGAAAGTCACAAAATAACCTTTGATCAACTCCGCGCAAGAATACCTAACATCAGTTAAGGGTTGCATCTTATGAATTCCATCGCCCCCCTCTCCGCACTAAGTGCATGTATTTACAATTCTCTATTGGAATTACCCTTGATACACTGAACTTTCCTACACAACCCTAACATTTCTTGATCCTGGAGTGGACAATTTTAAGCATTTTCCTATAGCCTCTCTACTTTCATCATTTTGTTCGACCCTTTACAACTTAACATCAGTATACTAGCCAGCAGTGCAAGCGTCTTATTAGGGCGAGTTAACGTTAAAAAGTGCGCGATTGTTTACTCAACCGGCCATGTTGAATTTGGAGTTAGAGTCACTGACGCTCATTCCCTTCGTAAAACTTTCTTTCTCTCCCCAGCCTTCCGCTTCCATAAACGTCAAAGACGACGGCCATAATTTTCGCTAACAAAATACTGAGCACTAGCTGGCCAAAATTACGCCTCTGCTCTGAAGGCTATCAGTATGCATACTCGCCATATTGTTCTCTATACATTTCTTCAGGTGCTGACCAGAAGAATTTTTTTTAACAATCAAGAGCTTAATAATAATAATAATAATAATAATAATAATAATAATAATAATGTAGCTATTTATAATAATTTAATATTTATATTGCGCAAATTAACATGTGGATACGATCAAATGCGCATAACAACACTTTTCGGGGGACTTTGGCCCGACTGCATCAGCAGTTTACAAACAATCGAAGGAAACTTTATTTGAAGATGCCCCCTACCCCCCAATTCCCAGTAAACAGGCCAGACCACATCACAGTAATCTCGTGAGTGGGTTTTTTAACGTCCTCTGCCTAACCAAATTAACTAATTAATAGTTTAACTAATTTAGTTGGCGATCATTTCCGTTATTCTTGTGACCTTAATGTGCGATTCAGGGGTGATATTGTAAGGAGAAATTAGATGTCAGTCATTCTTACAGGTCAAAAGGTTAAATGATTGTGTGACACTGTAAAGTCGAACCTCGATTATCCAGACTCGTCGGGACCTCGGTAAATAGACCGGATAATCGATAATATGAATATTAATGAGATAGAAATGTAAACGAAAGGTATACAGCAAAGAAAACATTTTCATTGTGATATCTACACAGCCTGTATGTATTTACAGATAACGCATCAGAATATTTCTGTCTCGTCGCACTTGCGAATTTTGAAAAGCGCATAGGATAATACGCTGTTTCAACAGTCTTTTGAAAGGATTATTGGGCTTTTTGCGACTCTGAGTTTTCAAGATCACAACTAATTAATATTCATGAAAAAAAATTGGGACCAGAGAAGAAAGTCCGGATAATTGAATTGTCCGGATAATCGAGGTTCGACCGTACAGTTATTCCTGACTATCTATATTCAGGACCTAAACTGAATGTGTAGCTATTTAAGGCACAAACGAGCTAAAAAATGTAATAATAATAATAATAATAATAATAATAATAATAATAATAATAATAATAATAACGAATTTTTATACAGGATTGAAAACCCATCAGTGTGTAACACTGTTGTCCTTGGGGTCCTGTCAAAATAATAAATAAATAAATAAAATAAAACTTAACAAGATATAATCATTGATCTTAAGGTCTAGAAAAGCATACAATAAAATAAAATGCTCTGAAAAAGGATACCTATAACCACGTTTAGATCGAATTTTTAACTAAAATAATCTCGCAATTTGTTCTTAAATTTCAGTCTCGAATCTAACGACCTTAGTTCAGCAGGCAGGTTGTTGAAAGTCTTTGCTCCTTGGTAATAGAAGCTCTTTTTACCTAATTCTAAACGTACTTTGGGTAATTTCACTGATATACCGTTATTCCTAGGTCACCAAGCTTTAGTCAGTGTACCGTCTAACCATAAAAATCCAACTTTACTATCATTAATCAAAAACAAAAGCACCAACAACACAACAACCCAGGCAGATCAGTTATAATCATTCATTAAACTGTATAAGAGTCCTTGTTGCAAAAGGACTCTACAATATGTATCTAACAAAATCATGGAAGAAAGGATACTTAAATGTCTCTTCGCATGACGACATTATCTACGGAAAATTCAATGGCAATTAATTAATTGAATAACTTATACATTGGCAAGTCAAATAATTGAGGTACAGCTGGCTGTCAGGGCCAATATCAGTGATCCAAGTTGAGGTTTCATGAATTAGTCCTTCATCAGAGCAAGTGAGAGTTGATAACGTGAATTGGCCTCTGAAAAGAGATTCTAAAACTGAGGTTTTGAGCATTAATAATGATAAATAAATAATTTAGCAATGGACATTCCACTGGGTGGCTCTTCTTGTCCTCTGTTTCCAGATCAAATTGGAATTTGGAATGCTGGTTTTTGTGGAGGGAGGAAAACCGGAGGGCCCGGAGAAAAACCCTCAGCGCAAGGATGAGAACCAACAACAAACTCAACCCACATGTAATGCCAGGTCCGGGAATCGAACCTGGGCCACAGTTGTGGGAGGTGAGTGCTCTTACCACTGCGCCATCCCTGCTCCCCCACCTTTATCAAGGCAAAGGGCTCACATTTGAAACTTCAGCTTCAGAATGTCTTTATAGTGGCCAATTCACATTATCAACTCAATTAATAAAACCAAAAAATCATTGAATTAACATTGATATTGATAAAAGTTAATTGCTCGCGTCAAATTGCTCCTCTAAGTGGGAAAAAAGTTGTATCCAAACAAATAACAAATGAAATGTAAAAGTGACTTCACATTTTCTTAAAAGCTTGCAATAATGTTTGGTATTTCCTAACATGAGAAAAAAAATGAAAGGCGCACCTGTATTGTAAGCTGAGCTGCTCCAACTAGACAACCAAGAATACTGACAAAAGATCCAAAAGAAGGAAGGGTAGATGGTGGTTTGGCAAAAAAACCATTTTTGGAAAGCCTAAGAGAAGGAAAAAACTTTACATTTAGGTTGCATTTTCAGCTTTCTAAACCTCTGACTCTAGCAGGTGCTGCATATGCAACAGGACCATACAGTATCCAATCATCATCCAGCAAAGCTTTAAGGGTGACTAGAGTAGCAATGGTAGATACATTTCAATGAAGAAAAAGGGCATGCTTTCTGAACATTTGATAGAATTTGCTCCCTCGATAAATACTTTGCAGGATTCTGTAAAGAGTTGCAAAACATACTACATACCTAGGAAAGGTATTTCTTAAATTGATCATCTTGTTGTAAATTTCTGTTTCTTGCAGCCTACTCAGACTTTTAACAATCTGTAAATAAGAACATGAACACAGAAAAGTGATGAAAGTTCTGTTTTACATTTAAGAACAAAGTTTAAAGTTTTTTTTTTCTCTTTACATTTAAAGGTACTGACAAGGAGAATATTTTTAACAATCAAGAGCTTCTTTAGTTCATGATCATTTCCTTTATTCTCCTGACCTTATTGTTTGATTCAGGGGGGATATTGTAAGGAGAAATTAGATGCTAGTCGCTCCTAAAGGTTAAAGAGTTAGGTCATCAATGGTGACCACCATTATCTAATATGGATGTACAATTTAACCTTATAACTCCCAGGATTTGATGGCGAATTCTCCCCTCTAACTGTTACACATTTCCTGGTTAATTAGTTATGAGAATTTGGTGTTACATCAAGATAACAACTTCTACCTGACGAGTTTGAGTATTCTAATTACCCGTTTGCTAGCTAATGTAGGGATATTAAAGAAAGAAGTTACATGTTAATCATGATAGTACCGTTCTTAATCCTTGAAAATATAATTGCTTTCTATGCTGGTTTCCATCTTTATAAACAACTCTCCTGATGATGGCAGCCTCTGACCAGAGATGCAGTAGCTTTGTCTTAAAGACAAGAGAGTTCAGCTTGCTGATTGTGTCTTTTATGTCATCTAAAAGTAAAACCCAATAAGTAGAAAATATCAATATTCTCTTAAGATTAAATGTCATCTCTTACAAGATTGCTGCAATTTCATTAAAGGGGGACTGATAGAACATCTTACAGCTGAAAAGAAGATCATTAATTTGACTCTTATTATAGGTAACTCCTCAGTTTTGCATTGCATACTCTGTACTTTGCAAACAACACCACTGACTTTAGAGACCTATACTTTACTTGCATAATTTTGAATTAGGCAATCACAACTTTTTTACAAGCCTGGTGGCCTTATTGGTGGCCTATCCTTTTCATCGTAGTCCTCTAGGCAGTGATTGATAGCGAATATTGAGGGAAAGTTCCAAAAGATCATTGGACAACTTTCATTTCTGAGGAACCATCTTTGGAGGTCTCCACTGATCTAAAGGGGGTGACACACCATGCAATTTTTTTGGACAATCCTGGCAAATTTGGTCACTGCAATTGGCAAAAGTTGCAATCACCGCACCTGGCACACCCCAAAATTTTCACTGATCGCCACGATTGGCACACAGTGTGTGTCGCCAGCTTAAGGAAAAACTAATTCTACATATTCCTTATTTCACAGTCATTTTAATTTCCCATTACAAATTTATCACTAGGTCCATTTGGAGCACATGGTAAACAGGACAAGCTTCACCAATACCCCTATTTTTTTGTTTCTTCATTTCTTTGCTTACAAATTTGTTCAAATGCCGTGCATGTGACAATGAAGGTATAGCTATTGGGGAAGCACAACATAACACTGCTTCAGACCATGCAAGTCCCCGATATTCCAACGGTTCAGGTTGGGGTTAGGAATCGGGGGCTCACATTGTTTGAAGCAATGTTTACCAAGTGCTCTCCATACCAAACAAAGATCAACAACTCAGCTTCATCTCTCCCACGTAAGTGCGTGCGTGCTTCATCTATCCCACATGCGTGCGCGAGACTAAGAAGAGAAAGGACTTGTAATTTTTGGGCGCATAAGTATAAATTTGATTTCTCCCTGGTTAAACGAAGGCTAATTCCCTAAAATTGTTACACGTGACAGGTTGGAGAGATTCGGGTGCTTTGTTTGAGGATACTGTAAAAGTTTCCATCGAGCGCTCTATTGGGGCAAATAATATCGTTGGCGAAGTATTATAAAATTATTTACCTTCATCTACTTTCTCTTTGCAAATGTTTTCCTGCGAACATGCCCGCAACGAGCAATACAATCCTCTTCGATTCCAAAACGTATTCGTCAAAACGGCCGCCATGTTGTTGTGTTGTTCTTCGACGAGTGACCGCTGGTCAACGCGTTTTTGTCCTTCATTCCGCTTCAACCCCAATCTTCATACGAGGCAAATGGGGAACGCCGATTGAGGAAGTACTTTCCTGAGAAATTACACAAATATTCTAAGACTATACACCTGTCCCAAATGTTATCAGGCTGGTTATTATTACCGCTGCTATTATTTTGTGATCCCTTGTTTGAAGGAATCCTAAAAGTTATGACCACGGAACATATCTGCTCAGTTTTGCTGGAAACTGTTGTATTTTACCCCGGTAATTGCTACAATGCCTCGAGTTGTTTAGACAGATCATAAAACACGCAGTTAACCGCGTGAACTGTATGCAGAGTCAAGACAAAGCCCAGCTTCCTTCTTATAATCGTTAAAATCTACCCGGCTAAAATGCCCATCTGCGCGCGCGAAATAAAGTCAATCTCGAGTTCCACTAAGATTGATGACTCGTCGCTCATTTGACGTCACGACTAAATTAAAAACGCATATGAAAATAGTATCAGCCATCTTCTTATTCAACTATATATATTTCATTACTTTACTGGACCTTTCAATGGTTGAGTTTAAGATACACCATGGTGGTGAGAACATTTTAACTTTCAATTTCGATCAGGAGGCAAATCGCGATTTTCGTTAAGCCACGAATCACTGACAAAATGTCATTGATTGCTTTATTTTGCAGTTTAACATCCGAGGATTTACGCTTCACCGAAAAGAGCTTTATACTTCACTATCAATACTTTTGGCTATACTTCTTTTTTGCGCCCTGGTCAACGACTTTGTTTCAATCATTAACGTGGAGATGCCTGAGAACTCGACTCACGAATTCACCTTTACGATTCTGGTAAGTGTCGCGACGAGTAAAGACGAAAAAGTATGTATGGCATACAAATAAGACTGCTTTTTAAAATCCCAGTGATCTGAGCTACATATACGTACATCTAGTCACTTCTGTCTTCATAAGCTACCGGAATATCAGTCGTGATTCAATCAGTTTAATAAAATCCTTAGTTACTATTAAACCATTAAACCTGTTTATGCAATAACACTGTTTAAGATGATTTTCGAAATCTTTCAAATTTCAACAACCGTGAAAACAATTGATGAAAGCATCGTTTCAACGGGTCACTGAATTATTTTTTCCAATTCAGTCTCAGGCTTTTAAAAGATGCCAGTTAGCAGTGTTCATGGCGGTATAATCGCTCTTTCGTTTCTGTTTCTAGTTACTCCACTGTGCATCCTTTACACTGTCTATCCTGGGTTTTATATATCACAGTCTAGCTGGGAAAGGCACTGGAACGACATTAGGACAAATTTTAGTAGGTAAGAAATTTTTTAGCCATCAAAGCTTTTAGAATGTCTCGATGGAAAAATACGAGAGAACACAAGAGAGTGTATCATTCATAGTACACTTTGTGAGCCTTGAGGGCATGGCCAGGGGTCATATATAGGGATTCAGGAATCTGGGTTTCTTTTAAGTTTTTAAATGGAGATTTCGCAAGACTGTTAGGCGTACCTTACCTTGGGGGGAGGGAGGGGGGAGGGATAGGGTGCACCAGTATCCCATTACCCCTCACCACCACCTCTCTCTTACCGATTCTGACTTGCCAAGATCAAGCAAGATCTGTCATCAAACAGAAACTTTGAGATGGGTTTGTAACGGAAGAGGTCTTCTCTGTTTGTTTGAGAGACAGTTCTAAAAAAAGAAAAACACTTTAAAATAGCTTATTGATTGCTTTTTGATCAAAAATAAACATACAAACAAAACCAAGTAATCATAACAGCCAATCAGAACAAAGGGAAATATTGCAAAGAGCCAATGGAGAGGCAGAGTTAAAACGAGTTCACTGCGTAAAGCACGGGAAAACGCGGGTTACCAAAACCAAACACAATCCCGGACTATTTTCCACACTCCTTAAAAAATTACTTTTCTAAGTGACTGAAAAATTCACTTGGGAAAGATCATCGGCTTTAAGATCAAGTGAAGCCGAAGATCGAATAAACCGATCGAGCTCTTCTAAGCAACGCTTAACTGTATGGTAAAACCCCGTCAAATTGCAATTCAGAGGCAATAAGAAATCGTTCTAGATGTTGTAGAGATGAAGTCTGATTTCTTGTTAGGAAATGAGCCCTTTGTTTATTTTGCTATTTTTCCTTGCAGCTTTTAATATGGGGTTATTCATTACTCGAATAATTCTTGAATTAGTCTTCCTTGAATTTCGACCAGAAGAGATGGCAACAACAACGTAACAAGCGAAAGTAGCAAATTAATTATCTCTCAAGGTAGGGGATGTTTTCTCTTATTTTCGCCTGGTGCCTCTCTTTTCGAAAACACGCCGTAAGGCGATTTCGCGTGTAAGCGGCCTCACTTTTAACTTGAAGCCAAGTGCAAAGCATTTCTTGTGAAAATAAGTTTTGTTTGCTTGAGATTAAAAATTCATTTTCAGACAAGGAATCGCACTTGGCCTCATAGTAGAACAGGGGCGTTTGCATCTCGCAAATGGCCTGTTGCTTTGTATCGTCTGTAGTTTCAGTTTATCATTTCGAGACTACTGACCTAAATATATTTCCTGCTATTTAAGAATTTCCATGGCACTAGGCCGACACGAAAAAAAAAAAAAAAAAGAAAAAAATAGGGCGTCAGTAGAAACCAAACAAAATAAATCTTATTTTTCAGGTGTTGGGCTAGTTGGGAATTGTTCCCTGTGGATGTGGGCGACCACCCAACACAGGAACATTCTTTTCCAACAAACATCAGACGTTACGTCATGTTGACCAGTGCAAGGGCGATGCAACACAAGTTGATGACTCCCAATAGACTTTCTGCCATCGGACACATTTTTGTTACCTTCTCACAGTGGACATAACACATTGATTTGAGTGTTAAAAAATATGGCAGCGAAACTTTAGAATCTGAAGAACTGAAGAAGACATAAATATAATACCTTGTCGATAGGCTGCTGAACAACTTGTTGACATGAATTTTGTTTTGAGTCCACAATAAGAATGTAAATAGCTAGAAATTAATATTTAATAAATTTATTGAAGTACGAGTCAGTTTTGTTCAGTTTAGCGTACAGAAAAGCACGTGTGAATGTAAGGTGTTGCCCTTCAGTTTCGGAAATAACTACTCACATTTCCACCTCATTCTTTGAAAATAATTCTCTACAATTAAACAATTATAGCTGTTCGTGGATTATTCACACTGTAACTACGTGTAAGTGAAATTTTTAATCATCTTTAGCTTTTCCTTTAGACAAGTATGAAAATTCGCTTCGACACTAACACCCTCTGATCTGGATGGTAGCCACTCTCTCTGTTGTAGGGAGAATTACAAGCCAGGACTTAAGCTAAAATTAAAAAAAAAAAAACACTGTCGAACTTGGCTTCAATCAAAGAAACTTCACTGCATTTCTTAGCAATTACCATAACACAATACATCTTTAATAATTTTATTTCCTTCACAATTTTTGCCCTAGCTAAGAAGTACTTCATCATTTGTTCTAACCTGATATTACATAATAGTCGTAAGAGTAGATGGGAAGGGGGGATATAGCACAAGATAGCCTCTCTGTGCGTAATAAAAATTCTTAACAGCTTGGGAACTCTCCTCTCTAGGACTGGAACCGTGACGATAGCCGACTTCCACGACGGCGCGCACACAAAACGACGCTGAGAAAGCCTCCACGTTGCGAAAACGGCGTAAAAAGGGGAAACATACCCTCAGGATTTGTTACCTACAGGACGCCAGCTAGTGCATCCTCATTTCACGCGACAATGAGTTTTACAAAATCTTCTTAAATTTTACGGTTATTAAGGATTTCTGAGCAGACACCATGCGTTTCTTCTCTGTTCCTAGACTGAATACGATTTAAGACCGTTTCATTTTCCATTAAAGTTGCATTTCAAGCGCTTTGTATCCTTCCACCTTTAACTCTAATGTTGGGATTTGCCATCGGGTCAAGAAAAGGGTCCTTATCAGCCATTCCCCGTCCAACTCGTGTAAAAAGCACCACCATCGTTGTAAAGGCGAGTACAAACAGGACCAGCAACACTGTGGTTCGTTTTAAAGAGGCCTTTGGATCCTCAGGTCCAGGCTTTTTGGGTCGACGAGACCTGGAAACCAAAATACTAACATTACGATTCATAAACCCGCTTGTACATGAACTAGGATCTTGACTCTGAAGCATACAACATGAAATCACAAGCGGTATATACTCTTCGTCAACACAGGATAATAGACTGCCACCAGGGCCTGGTCGTTCGAAGGGCGGATAACTTCATCCAATGGATAACTCGCTACCCAGCAGATAAGTGTTAACAAAACGTAGAGCGCTATCCAGCGGATAGAAACTTCTCCAGTGGATAACGTTATTCACCCTTTGAAGAACCGGGCTCTAAGCGCAACTCTTTTCAAACGGTCAGCATTTACATCCGTTTACATCCTACGTTACATCATGACATGATCGTCAGAACTATAATTCAGTCGCAAATTTTTTTCTTTTTCTTTCCATATAGAAGATAACGGCATGATTGATTGATTGATTGATTGATCGATTGCCTTTTATGCAAATATTTATCTCACTTAAACTTTTGACTACAAAAACAAAGGTATGGAAATATTACAGCTGAGTACAGGACCAACGAACACAAGTCGACAACTTGGCGACTTTCGTTGCAAATTTAGCCGCCTCTCGACCTGGCCTCCAAAGTGTTCCCACCTTGGAGCACTGAATTCACTGCTATTACCGGTCATTCCTGCATGTTGGTAGCAGTGGCGGATCCAGGGGGAGGGTCTGTGGGGTCCGGACCCCCTATCGTATATCACTTTTTAACTGGCTGATTTTTTTAATGAATCCAAGTAAACGGTAAGCGGCCAAAGAATATAACGTACAACCGCGACTGGTGGGAGGGGGTGTGGGGGAGAAGCAATTTGCCTCGGTCCAACAGTCCTTTCTGAACCAAAGTTTGGACCCCCCAATCAAAAATTCCTGGATCCGCCCCTGGGTAGGTTCAGGTGGCATAGCTTTTCATAAGTGATTTTTGGTAGACGGGAACACCACAGGGTGAGACGAAAATGAAAAGATAAGGTTGCCCTTCGGGCAAGCTGTTACTTGAGATTACTAGCCCGAAGGTCTGAGGAGCTAGCCCGAAATTAAATTGTTTATAAAGAATAATTAGATTTATTTAATTATGCAAAATACAAGTAATGATGCGCCAAGCATAGATATAAACTAATTCTTCGTATATTTTGAATCTTGAATGTGATTTTCGTTTTAACTTCAACCTCAAATTAAACAATGTAACAGAAACGACCAGTTTTTACACCTGACCACCAGAACTTGCAGTCACAACTTACATCAAAATTTTGTGGACGACAATTCCAAATACAGTCATGTAATTCAATCTTGTGACTGCAAATGACTGCTTTAGAGTAAAATTTCATTCAAAAATGGGCGAAATAATCAAGGAAAAATGACCTCTGCACTCGAATGGGTTCGTTCCTTCGATGTTTACATTTTACCCCGTCGACGGTGAAAAATACTATAAATTTAAGTCATGACGTTATTTACGGACGCAACTAAAATGCGGCGCAAGACGTCATGCTACGATAATTTGGCCTCATAACGTTGTCCTTTACCCTCAGAAGCTTTCTGCTATGCAATTTTTGGTATAAAAGCTCAATTCATCATCATCAGAAAAGAGGAAACAATATGGTGGTGTTTGTCCGTCGGGCAAGCTGCGATAAGAAAACGCTAGCCCGACAAGTCATTCCACTAGCCCCGAGCTATCGGACAGCACTTTCGTCGCGCCCTGCACCAACATGTACCACTGCTGCCGTTGTCACCTTAGAGAGTATTGTTCTAGCTGCTAATATAGATGTACCACGAGTTCTCGAGTTGCTTACCAAAACCATCTTGTGAACCAATCAATAGCACCTCTTCTTTGGTATTTATTTTCATCGTGGTCATAAGGGATACTATCTACTGGTTCCCTCGTGTTGAATATCTTCCTTGAAACTGTGCCTGAAAAACATTTTTACCGCTGTGATGACGAATATCGTTGTCGATAAGAGTACAGACCACACTAAATCACTGCAGATTTATTTCATAAACCACATTGGACTAGAAGGTTTAATATCTGGACAACCAAGGAGAAATATTTAAAGGAGCAATAATAGCAATGTTTGCAAATGTTTTATCTCACTAAGACGCTAGACTTATAACAGCCACTTGGTAACTGATGGAAATTTCACTGCTTCTTAAATGAAGGCTAAACGCAAGCTCTTATTTCAGTTCTGCGTGCGTATTTCAGTTAAACAGCGGTTTCCCATATAAGCGTGCGCGAAAGCGAGGCTATCGGGTCAAGCTTCCCTGAAGATTACGAGTTGTGTAGTCAATGATCATGACATCAAAAACAGTTGCAGCTTGGAGCACTGTGCTTCTTCGTCTCTTACACCAAGAAAGTACATAATAACCTTGAGGAAAAAAGTTCCAACATCACTAAAAAAAAAAAAGAAAAGCTCAACTCACTAGGCTTGTCAGCATGTGCATAAGTGTGTTGTGGGGGTGGTACCACGGTGTTCTGTTGTCGTACGTCTACCACGTGATGATCTCTGGTTGATCGCAGTTCTGTTTTAGTACTCAGCGGGGTGGTGTAGGGAGGTGACTGACGGGCTGTATGTGGAGCAGAGTTTAGGATATGGTCTGTTTTTTCATTAGTGGGTGCCATTCTCTGACTTTCCGATACTTGAGTAACTGATGAGAAATGTGTATGGTCAGTACATTCGTAAACCCATTTGACATCTGACCTATTCCAACCCGGAAATTATTTGAAGCCTTGTGACATGATGCAGGCAGCTACAAGTTCATGCATTATGCAATTATTAACCTGTGAGCAGGCCCTCAATCTCTGCCCAAGGGAATATTTGAGGCAAGTTGATGAGAGGTTTACTTGAGGCCTGATTATCAGAGTCCAACCACTGCAGACCTTTTAATGCGAGGTTTGCTTGGGGCCTGACTATCAGATTCCAACCCCTGCAGACCTTTCAATGAGAGGTTTGCTTGGGGCCTCGTTATCAGCATTAGACCACTGCAGACCCTTCAATGAGGGTTTGCTCAAGGGACCTTATCATCAGTATTCAACCACTGCAGACCTTTTAATGCGAGGTTTGCTTGACGCCTGATAATCAGTGTTAGACCCCTGCAAAACTTCCAAAAGGAGGTTTGCTTGGGGCCTCACTATCAGTGTTAGATCACTGCAGACCTTTCAATGGCTCTTGTTGCTCTCAGCCTAATACTTTATGGCAGGCAAAGAAAAGCTTATTCAAATGACTGCATTGATCCTTCAAAAACGAAGAGATTTCCTTGAATTGAACTATGCAATTGTTGATAACACTTACCAGTATCAGCTTCATGTTTTGACATGATACTTTCAGAAGTTGTGGCAGTGGGTGAGCTGGTGGAAGGTACCTGGCCAGTCATAGTCAAAGACAGAATTGATGAAAAATCAGACAAATGTTGCTAACTTTTTGATACATCAAGGGTAAAAGACCAAAACAAAAAGTGATCACAAACATCAAAGAACCAACCACAGGAAGTCCAAGACCAACACGGGCCCAGGGTGCAGTGGCCAACATCTGCCTCAACTGGTCGGCAACAGGAGAAATTTGATTCTCTGGAGGAAACACTGTTGACTGAAAAAGAAAAGTAATGTTTATTCCACAGATCTGAAAATTGCAATAACTGTCTACTAAGAAGCAAAATTCTTAACTTAACCCTGAAAATCTTTCTGGAAAAAAATTACAACTCTCTGTAGTTATTGAGACAGCTTCATTGCCTTTGTAAATGCAAGTTAATGCAGTCCATCTTTTTCTGGTTACAGGAGATTTTATACTATTTCTTTGCTTGGGAGTACATCTTGTTCTTTGATATGAGACAGAATGTCATAGAAATTCTTTGAGAGTTGCTGCATGTGAATGTACATGTACTTAATGTTCACCAATCAAAGAAATAAGAACATGCTTTTGCGTCATAACTAAGATTTGATTATTGTTAAAAATTATGCACCTTGCAGTTGGGACAAGAGTAACCAGCTGGAGCAGTGTTAGTTGGAAGGCTTGCAGCATAACTGTTCAGACAAGCCCAGTGGAATACATCTAGGGAGAATTAGTTAGATTGAAACACTGGAAAAAGATATTCACAAAGTAAATGACACAAACATGCTTAGTTCTCAATCTGAGACTTTGCAAGGATTTGAATCTGTGCCTCCTGGATATCAATCAGGATATACTAACAACTGAGCTATGAAGCCACATATGAATAAAGGCTGATAGTTTCTAAAGAAACTGTTTGGGGCTGTGT